TGGGCCTGGCCGAAGTGATCACTCCACCTTTTTCTTGGTCTACCGAGTGATCTTCTTCCTCTTGGAGAGTTGTCTCTAACAACCCTAACTATTCTCGATCCTTAAATTCTTTCTATGTGTTCATTCCATTCGTTCCTTCTCATTTCGCTCCATTCAGTAATGTTTTCTATTTTGCACGTTCTTCTGATGTCCTCATTCTTGATTCTGTCTCTGATCGTTTTGCTTCCACACACCGTAGTGTTCTCATTTCTGCTGTTGTAAGAGTCTGGCAGTTATTATTTGTTTCCGGTCTTGTTTCACTTTAGATACGTTGAAATGGAGTCTAATTACTGCTTTATAAATAGATACCTTAGCTTCTTTTCTTAGGTGTTTATTATTCCATATGGGTATTTTTCAGGTATCCCGCAATTTTAGTTCCCTTCTCAACTTGTTCCGCTACTTCTTCCTTATACCTGCGTGGCAGTGTTGATTCCCAGGTACTTGAACTCATTTGATTTGTTCTATTATTTTCCTTCTACTTCCAGTTTATAACACTTGTTTTTCTTTCGCCGAATTATTATCACGGTTTGTGCACAGCAATATTGCAAATGATAATTTGACCACAGCTATGTCCTCTATTCATAATAGTATTAGAGACTGTTTTTACAATAAAATGAAAAAACAAAAGCAGACAAAAATGACAGATTATTTGAAACAGTAAAAAATACTCTTGTATGTGTAATTATGTGTAATTATGTGCAATTTTGATTTTAATTTAATATGTATGTATACATTTATATACATTTGTAATTACTATGTTTATATATTAAAGTACTTAGGTACGTAAAAAAAGGTTTTTATTCGATGTCATTATAACCGGACCGGACCTGTGAGCAAAACCCCCGTGAGCAATTGTCCGTGCGCGCAGTTATGACTGTGGGCAGTTTTCTGTTAGCAGTTGTCGTGTATGAGATATACATAGTTGCAAAGTTGCAACTACATAGTTAGAAGTATATATAATCACCAGTGTTATATTATTACTTATATAGCCATCTTTTGGCACATTAAACACTTATTCATCTACTCCTTTAATGGCAAATATCCACGTGAGCTTCTTGTTTCGCTTGTCGAATACAAATATGAACCAGTATAAACAAACAGGCATATATATTAAGTTTGCCTAATGCACTACAAACATCTTAGAAAGAACTAATATTGAATGTTGTGAAGGGTGGTTAACCGGCTGAAATAAATGTAGAAATGAAATAAAATAATATTTCGGAGATATATCTGCGGTCCTTCTTTATCCCAATTTTAAAAATGCAAGAAATGAGCTGACGTCTGTAATAGTGTATCTGGTATTTTTAAATGTGTATACTCCCATAGCCGTTACTTTGATATTTGAGAGAAAAATTGATTTATTTGAGCGATGATCAGGTCAGTATTGAAAAAGCAAAAAGGACAACTTCTTTTTCAATGATCATCTTCCAAAACTGGGAGTGATTAGAAACAATTGGAGTCAAACAGAAACTATACGTTTTGTTACAGGACGAACTCTTTAAATTATAAATTGATTAAATAAAAAGCATAAGTGAGTCCCATTAATTATACTTACTACATCTATATAGCTAGCATCTATACACTCCGCTAAATACATTTCTCATTCGTATTTTCAGTAAACTTTTTTTTATATGGGTGTATTAATACAGGAAGTAAATTTATCTTTGATGTCTGGTATTTTACAATATTGAATATTGCGCGGGTTTGTGTCTACCTTTCTTCGTTTACGTGTACATGCCCATATATATAGTATAATACTACTTATTGCTGATGAAAGAAGAACAAATACGAAAATTCCTGTATATTTGATATCTTCCGATATGCATTGGTCTACGAGATACCAATTAGATGATATTTGATCCCCCAACTCATTGACTATCAATATACCCACTTCACAAAACTCTCCAGTACAATTAAATTCTGGTAATTGTGTTAAGTTAATATTTACTTCTGTTTCAGCAATGTATTTGTATTCACTCCTTATGTAATGCCCAACTATCCAACAACTCTGTTTTTCTTTAATTGGAACAAGTGATTCATGCATATCTACTAATTTTTCTCTGCAATTTCCTGTATCGTTCAATTCATTGATAAGGAGAATAATGTACAAATTGCTTATTGCTTCATCATTTTCTATAGCCGGTATTGAAATAGTTATGGATTGGTTGACATTTTGTCTTAGAAACGGCTCAGTGCTAAATGATGGTTTAAAAATTGGACAAAAAAATTGTTGAGTAAGCTTTGTAAAAGTAAATTTTGAGTTAACTGTTTGTATAGAAACGATTGCCTGATGAGTATCAAGTTTACACTGAAATGGCGTCTGAAAAAAAAAATAAATAAAATATGTAATTATTGTTTGAGAATTTTAGATAATTACTAGTGAACCCGACAAGCGTTGTTTTGCCATATAAATTATTTCTAGTTTCTAGATAAATTCTAGTGTAGACAAAAAGTAACTTACTTATTGTAAGTGTGTCAGTATGTAAAACTTGATTAACTGAACTACTCGTGCTAAATACGCTTAAAATTAATAATTTTATTATCTAAAATATAAAAATGAATCGCAAAATGTGTTGGTAACCGCTTCACTCAACAACGCCTAGACCAATTTGGCTAATTCTTCTTTTAAAATGTTCGTTAAAGTCTAAGGGTGGTTTTTACGGCGACAAAAATTGGAATAATTACCGGAAAAACGGGGAAAAGCTGAGATTTTCTTTTTTCAATCGATTAACGAAACAAATTCCGCAGTTTTCTTTGATTCAGTTTTGTTTGATTGTTTCATTTCGTTTTTTGTGCAAAGTGGTTAATTATCTACGATCACTAAGTATTGCATGTGACATTGTAATTGGGTGTTTTAGTGGGTCCCACTAATATAATTTGTTCTTGAAAGGGTAGCGAAAGTTCGTAGCGCCTCTGTCAACGGGGTGACTGTTCTGTTCAGGAGAATTTTTTAAATCGACTATAAAATAGGAGAGGAAACAAAATCTGCTACATTCCAAATTTTAACAGAACGCAGTAATTAATAGTTAATATGAGAGTTACACTGAGATAGCAATAGATAATTGTAAACGTTACTTACCGCTACACTTGATACTCGTACATATACCATAATGATGCTCGAAAAATCCTGTGTAGGGAGGAGAGAAGTCTTATTGTATGCGTGAAACAGAGACTGACATCAGTCTCTCATTCCTTCTGAGCGGGATGAAAAAAAATTAAATTACCAAAATGGCTATAAAAATATAGGCTAAGTGGATAAAAAGTAAATGTTTGAGTTGTATGTTTAGAACAAAATTTTTGTCCAAAATTTAAAAATTAAGGGGTGAACAATCCTTATCACTTAGGGGTATATGAAAATACATATTAGCTGATTCTCAGACCTACTGACTACGCAGTATATAAAATTTTCTTTTGAGCGAGATGAAAAATGATTAAATTACTAAAATGGTTACCAAAAAATAGGCTGGTGATAAAAAGTAAAAATTTAGGCTGTATGCATTTTTCAATGCCACATAAAAAATAAAACAAAAAATTTCGAACAAAATTTAAAAATATTTAAGGGGTGAACAACCCTATTACTTAGAGATATGAAGAATTAGATAATATCCGATTCTCAGACCTATTGAATACGCATATAAAAATTTTTTCTTCGAGCGACATGAAAATGATTAAATTACTAAATGGCTATAAAGAAATAGGGGTTGGTGATAAAAAAGTAAAAATTTAGGAATGTATGTATTTTTTAATGCCACATAAAAAAATAAAACAAAAAGAATTTGTCCAAAAATTAAAAAGAATTAAGGGGTGAACAACCCTATCACTTATGGGTATGAAAAATAGATAGTAGCCGATTCTCAGACCTACTGAATACTCATATGAAATTTGGTAAAATCGGTAAAGCTGTTTCGAGGAGTATGGAAACAAAACACTGTGACACGCAAATTTTATATATATATTAGTTAACCGCAAACGTTGTTTTGCCATATAAATTATTTCAAGTTTCTAGATAAATTTTAGTGTAGACAAAAAAGTAACTTACTTATTATAAAAAATAGGTTATGATAAGAAAACCAAAATTTAGGGGTTGTATGTATTTTAATGCCACATTAAAAAATAAAACAAAAATTTCGACCAAAATTTAAAATAAATTAAGGGTGAACAAACCTTTATCCCTTAAAGATATGAAGTTACCGATTCTCAGACCTTACTGAATACGCATATAAAAATTTTCTTTGGAGCGGGATGAAAAATGATTAAATTACTAAAATGGCTATAAAGAAATAGGGGTTGGTGATAAAAACTGAAAATATAGGGTTGTATGTATTTTAATTCCACATTATAAAAAAATAAAAACAAAAGAATTTGTCCAAAATTAAAAAAAAAAGTTAAGGGTGAACAACCCTTATCACTTAGGGGTATGAAAATAGATGTTAATGATTCTCAGACCTACTGAATAATGCATATAAAATTTGGTAAAAATCGGTAAAGCCGTTTCTGAGGAGTATGGAAACAACATCAGACACGCAAATTTTATATATATAGACTATTAACTGCGCAAACGTGGTTTTGCCATATAAATTATTTCAAGTTTCTAGATAAATTTTATGTAGACAAAAGTAACTTACTTATTATAAAAATAGGGGTTGGTGATAAGAAACCAAAAATTTAGGGTTGTATGTATATTTTAATGCCACATTAAAAATAAAACAAAAAAATCTGACCAAAATTTAAAAAATTAAGGGGTGATTGGAAGTGACCTCATACTCGTCCACCACACATGTTCCGTTGCTGATCATTATGACGCCTTTGCAATTAGAAAACTTAACACCTACTAGCATACTAGCAAAACGCGAACAGATAAACATTCATATTTAGATCATGTGCATAGCAACACATGTTATTATGCACGGATATTTTAAACACAATAAGCACCTATGCATTGCAACAGGTGCAATTGTTCAATTGCGCCGAAGAAACGCATTTACACTGCGTAGATCAACTATTTAAATAATCTAGATAAGATTACATTTCGACCTAGCTGTGATAAACGGTGAAAAGTAGTAGTGGTTAAGGAGTTATTTCGTTCATACCCATGTCTTCAACGAGGCGAAGCATCACTCCTCCAATGTGCAAATCCCCCTTGACCCGAATCATCCGTTCGGTGTTCAGTTCGGTGACAAACACGCGGAGGTCCCACGAGCCGTCGCCGATAACTTGACCGTTGGAGAGCATTTTGGACGCCCTGCTCAATTAACGCGCGGTGAGATCAAAACGCAATCCGGCCATGCAGACCTAAGCACTAGTATTTTCCGGCGGCGTGTCGCCGTATATGCTTGGCACTTCTAGCGACAGACAGCAGTTGTTCGCTGATTCGCGAACAAACACACTCGACCGATAAACTCTACGTAGATAGTCAGGCGGCGTGTCTACGTCGCGATTAAAAAAAATTACCGAACGTTTCGCGCACAACACGCAACCAGCGTTTGCGATAGTTTGCAGGCGGGATGGTGCACGGCGGGTTCTGCCAGCTCCACCGCACTTCACTTGGAGTGAGGGAACGGGAACTCAATTACAGAACGAGGTAAATAAAATGGCAGCCGAGGGGCGCCGCACAGCTTTTCGGGTGCTTGAAAACGATTTTCAACTGCTGGAGGTAAGTTTCCATCTTACAGCTGGAAGGAACGAGACGCAATCTTCCGTCGAAATAAAAATAAAACACGGTGCCTACCGCATAATGATTTAACGTATTTGCTACTAGGTGCGCCATCTAGTGGGTAATTATTAGATATGTTAGTATTACTTTTCTCCCGTATTTCGCATAAAACGATATAGGTACGCGTATAACATTTGTTTGCAAGAATTTTGGCTCGCTTTGTTATCTATCTACCCTATCTCGACTTTTAAATCTAATTCAAATAACAATAGGTTTACGAGAGGATTAATGTTAATGCATATTAATCCAAGGAAACGCTTTATGAAATGGTTTTATTAATATTGTATCGTTTAACAACAATAACTAGTGAGATTTAAAGCGTTTCCTTTGATATATATGTGTTAAATTTGATTTAATTACAAATTTCAACAAAAAAATGTATTTCAAGGTATTTACCGCTTTATGATTTACATTATGTTCGTCATTTATCAAATTATTTTCTAATCTCATTCGATTTACATTAATTCTGGTGGACGCAAAACGCATAACTACAAAATGATTTTATAAAATGAAAAAAAGAAACCTAATAAAGTTCACTGATAAAATATTATCGTAGTTGTTTTAACCAAATCGTTACGCTACCGGAATTAAAAGCGACATTTCAACATTATAAGAATAGACATATATCCGACAACTATATGTAGGACATGATGATTGTTAATTAAAATGTACAAAATAGGCGTCCAATCGATCGCCCTCTTGATTACACTGATGTAGAACTTGGGTCACATTTCTATCACTTGTGCATTACTTTCTTCTTCGATGTCGCGATGCTGGTAATACGTCTTCGCCTTCAAGACGCTGTGTGGGTTGATGTTGTAAACAAAATTTGTTTTATTCTAAACAAAAACATGGATCATTTTAATTTTTAATAATAAATCCCTGCAAATGGTTCATGGTAAAATCTTACAATTTCATTTTCAGCAGGACCAAGTACAAGTGACTTTCCACCAAGACTGGTTTGTGCAATGGAGAGTCCACTTAATACATAGCAAGTATGATAGAGATCACTTCGCTTGCCGGGTTTATCTTTCAGACCTCCGGTCGGATGTTGGCAGCAGATGAGAATGTATTCCTGAAGGGCAGTGTTGTTAAAAAGAAACTGATCTGGCGGTGATTCACGCATTAACAACTCATGGAGTAGAGCAAAAGCACCCGCCTGCCAGAAAGAGTAACAACCATCGACGAGTTTATTCGTTCTACCTTGGAATCCACCTTCAAAACGCGTTTGTCTATTCACAATCCATCGCTGGAACACACATCATAAGAATATAAATTTCTCCCATTGATATATTTGCAGTTATTTACCAGCAAATTTTCGGAATCACACAAATGTAGCTTCTGTAAAAGTACTAATGCGGCCACACCACAAAATGTATATCCACCATGTGCTTCCATCCCTGGATATCCAGAAAATCCACCCTCATATGTTTGGCAACTTTTCACCCATTCCGCGGTTCCAGCAAATAAACCCACACTGGCAATATCTGTGAGTGTCGCTACTGTCAAGGCACAATATGCACCCCTAATATCAATTTCTCCATCAATGTGCATACTAAATGCGCCTTCTGGCGATCGTAATGACCATAAAAACGTGCGCAAGGTTTGTCTGTAATCCCACATTACTTGATTGTGTACTTTGGTTTAAGATTAATTCAATAGTTACCTATTGATACATTTATAGGCCTCCTCTGTTCCAATAATGCATAGGGCATTGACTGATGCAAATGTGGCTGCCAAGTGAGGAAGTTGGCCAGGACCACCTCCAAAACCACCTGTTGGGGACTGGCACCTAATTAAATAATAAATTAATTTATAACAATAAATATATAAATAAAATAATACATACTTTCCTAAGAATTTAATCATACTACTTAAAACTTTAGCATCCATTTTGTTTAGATGGTCTAGAAGAGATAAACTGTGCAGTGACCAGTAACATAACCATGTTCTAGCAGAATCTAAACACTAATCCATAATTTAAATTTCATAACAAATGAAATGCCAGTTTAAATACTTACTTCATAGGTCCTAGGTAAATACACAATACTATTCATTAAATATCTTATATGGTCTTCTCGTTTAAGAAGCGGAAAATTTTCGATAACTTTTGTAAGCCGGCGGTAATTATCATAGACTTCTTTAACATTTCGTTCCACTTGAAGCTGAAATTGGTTTAAAAAGACCAGAAGAAATGTAAGGTTAATACTGCGCTTTATGATCATTATATTCAGCGCATTACCTGCTCATCAGCCGTTTTTGTTATCACATGTTCGTGATTGAACATGTTGCGTATCATTGTCTGTGGTTTATGGCGCTGCATTGTTAATATTAATTTAATTAAACTTGTTTCCGCGCCGAATTCCTTTAACACGAGCCGAAACAACTGTGGTCGTCGCCGGCCGGGTTTGAAGGGGAAGGGGGATGAAGGAAACAGAACAAACAACTGCGGTAGTAGAAGTAGGCAACACCCCGTACGATATTGTCATATTTTTTTAAAGAAAACTTAACTTCAAGTAATATTAGAATGTTTTAATCATGGAAATATAATTATAACCTTGATGGGTATTTCTTCATCTTCTATTGCTCATATTCTCGATCGTATCTATTTGAACAAGTAACATGTAAACATTGTTAGGATCATTAAAATTAGAATCAACACAGTTTATTACCTTGCTTTGTTTGCACAACTAGAATTTTGAGTAATTAGAAAGACAATTCAACAGAAATTTTGCATTTTAGTGATATCACATTAAATATTATGCCACAATATGTGCGACAAACGTCAAAACTGTTTCTGAAATCAAGGGAAATATTTTCTTACAACATAAATTCTTTAAAAATACTTATATTTTAAATAAATATATATCTTATGCCCTAATATTCATTGAGATTGGATTACAACAACAAGTTTCAATTCTTCATAATGAGCATATGAAAGAGTAATTCAAACGTGATGAACATTTACTTGCCATATCGCCAACGTTAGCAAATACACATCAGTGATATATAGAATGCATGTACATAAGACTCCACAACACAATAAAGACCTAATCATTACATAAACATTAAAAATATTGTGTGAAACAATATGGTATATATTTTATGATCTAACATTGGTATTATTATCTTCAGTCACATAAGAGTCAATTGGTCTGTAGGCCGACCTGTTAATAGTGCGGATTATATGGCGCTTGCTTCAAGTAACCTTCATTTCCAACTTGTACCGGCGGCGGTGGTTGCATGACCACTTCGTGATAAGGCGGCGGAGCAGTCTGTGGAGCGTAAGATGTTGGTGGATATCCACCCGCTGGAGCTGGGGGTGGATATACACCAGGATATGGCCCTGTTAATAAATTAAAGTAAATTAAAATCACAAGAATGTTATAAAATAGGGTGGTTAATACAAAATATTTATATAGTCATATTCATTTATATAGTCTGTACCTTGTGCAGGAGGATACATTATTAATCCAGGTGCAAATCCTGGTGGTGGTGCCTGAGATGGCTGTGGAACTGGATGTTGTGGATCCATTGGATATGGTGGAATCACAACAGGTGATGAATTTACTGGCTGATTTGTTACTGTAATAGGTGTCCCCCCATCTAAAAAGTGATTTAAATTTTTTTTAATTTTTACTCAATAACTGGTGTCTTTTGAAATAGCTTGTGTAACTCACAACCAAATACAACCCCTTGTTGTTTACGTTTGCAACACCATCCGCAAATTGAGAACATAATAAAGAAAACAAGCACTAAGGCGATTGGGAGAAAAACGTCCATACTGAAGTTGAAGTGGCTGAAACAATCATATTAATATTGAAATCATTATTATTGTGCAATAATGATGAACTCACATTTATCTCACATTGAAAAACTGGTTATTTACGTACCACTTAGTTAATGCTCGCGATGCTTATAATCTGGTTATCTAAAACAATGCGTAATTTTCGTTTAAACGTTTTTTATTGTTGCTATCATAATTACTTTTTGTTCAACTATGTATTTATAACCTTCAAAACAGAGGGTATGTCAAAATTCGGATAACTTTGCAAGCAATCCAAACCAAGCTGCTTAGCGACCTTCAAAATCGTTTCATTTTTGTTTTGTTTTTAATCAAGTTCACATTTTATTGTTATTATGGCACGGCATGGCTGGATTTGTTAAAATAGTTTAAGAAAAACAAAAGGACTTTTTGAAAACTTGTCAGCTTTGACTTGAAGCGGGAAATTTAAATAATATTCAGCAGCAAGACGTGTATGCATTCATGCGCATTGCGGTTCACAATGAAAAATATCACAAACCGTGATCAATCGCATATGCAGAGATGAGGATAACAAAAGAGCATTTATGACGCAAACAAACAAATTGATAAGACTGCACACAACCAAAACAACCTTCAAACGCATTATACCACGTCGTAGAGAATCGAAAACAGGAGAAAGAGAATCGATCGAAATATTAGCCGGAAACAAAACTTCTTTAGTGCTGCTTAGTAACTTCCTTGAAATTAAGGTCGCAACAAAAGAAAACACAATATGTAAGAAACTTTCATCTTTATTAAAAAAAATATATGGCATATATTCAAAACGTACAAAAATAAACAGAGATTCCTCCTCCATTTACGTGAACAAACTAAAGGCACTTATTTTTTATGAAAATAAAACAATCTTAACAATATTCTTTGAAACTTAAAAATAGTGAATTAAAAAAAACTGAAATGCTTCATTCAAGCAAACAAAAATTAAAAGTAATGCAAAAATCACCTCCACTTTTACAAAAAATGGAGAAGAGTGTTAAGGTTTTCTTTTGGCGGCCGCTGTAAGGATTGCGCAGCCAAAAACGCAAGTTTGTGCGCATACTGACACGGTGCTGGCACACGAACAGTGCCACCCCAGTTGTAATACTGATGACACAATCGGTTCGTCAATACTTGTGTCCTGTCCGAATCAAGATTGAAATCGTCGGGACCAAGGACACTGTAATACGTTGGCGAAACTGTACCTTTGTTCGTGCATTGAGAAATGAGGTAAAAATCGGATCTCTCTGGAAGAGTGACGACGTCATCAACAACAGTGCCAGGTGGAGGGTTACCTCCATTAAAAAAGAACCTAGTATTGATTCGCTTATTTACGACAATCATACGAAGGCACAATTTCTTTTCAGCTTTAGCGTAAATCGGAGCAAGCTGATCTTTCATAGCCTTTAACTCATGATCGTAGACGTATGAAATTTGTCCATCGCCAACGCCGTCACGATAGAACAAAATCTTCTCTGGGATAGACTGAGTATGTTTGGCGAAGTTCATGACGCACTTCACAATACCCATGGCTATGAAGTTTGAGAGTTCTTCGCCGTCCTTATGAGCAGACACGGTGCTATAGTAGGCAGTCGCTCTAGCGTCGTAGGACGCAACAAGTGCGCCAAAGCTATAAGCCTTATTTTTAGGGTCATGACACACGTCATATCCACAGATCATTAGCCCTTTAACAGGAATGTTGATTGCCCACGGAGCACCACCCAGCTTGCAATTAATTTGCACAACCACCTAAATAAAAGTAATGTTAAAATTAAAACATTAAGTTAGTTTTGGTTAGTTAACTGAGATTCATTTTGATTTCAAATTTCGTAACGTGTTGTAATAAAATATTAAATCCAAAATGTTTATCACACATATTAGCATAGTTACCTTGGTAGCGATGGAAAACATAGACTTATGATAACAATTCCTCACAACCACTATCTGGGAAGGAATGCCCTTGTCGACTGTCAGTTTCTTCTTAATGAATCCGTAGTGATCAGTGCGGTTCGACGGGACAAATAATAATACAAACATCAAGTTCGGATGCTTTGCTGTCAATTCCTCGATCGTTTTACCAAATGCCTGTTTATCGTATGGTTTACGCGCGTCATCTAAAGCAGTAATCAGCGGCTTTCCCAAGTTCCACTTCATACCAGTAGCGGCCTTAGTCATATTTGCATAGAAAGCCTGTACGCCGTCCTTGTCCTTGTTCGAATAGACAATTGCCCAAGTGCTCATTGCAGCCGTCCTGTACATGGGCTTTCCACGTGTGTTTTTACTCCACTCTGCGTCAGGCATAGCAGAATAACATGCTTGTGCGTTAGGCTGGAAGTACAGCGTCTCAGTGTCCAACTGACGTGCGGTCAGCGAAAGAATATCCTTCGACAATGACAAATCAAATCGCTTCATCTCTTGCATAGAGCCGGGGTTACTCTGTAGACGCGCATTGAATCGGGCTAGGTTTTCTATGCGTGTCTTTGGCGTCGGCATCATGTATTTCTCCAAATTATCTTTCATTATGCGATTTGTGCGCTCCTCCTCAGTGAGACCAGTCATGCGACAAAATTCGGGAATGAGAAGCATTGTAGCTTCTTGTGGTCCGTCACCTCCGCCGCCACATCCTTCACCACGCGGTTCTCTCTGTTTAATTTTCGTGACCAGCAGCGGCTGAGTCATGTCTGTGATGGTAAGGCCGTAGCGCTGGCGGTAGTACTCGCTGAATGTCACCGATGAACCATCTTTCAGTGTAAAACTCGTATTCGGGGAGCGGTCAAAATCAACATCGTCAACGCGATATGTCTTATTATTGTAGTCAGTCAAAACTATAGTGTTCAGCATACGCTCATGGAACCTAGTGCGCCAATCCTGCCTGTCGCGTTCGTTCATCATCTTGCGCATCACGATATGAGCAGTCTCAGTCTTCATGATTTTGTGCTTTATTTCGGCACACATGAGTACGTCGGTTTCATGCTGACGAATAGAAGTTACAATGCCAGGCCACAGCTCCAAGTTCAAAGAGGCAACGACGATCTTGTTAGCAGGATCGAAGTAATCGCGTCGAATCAGTTGAAGCTTCAGATGACTCATGCATTTACGCATGATTAGATTGTATACTTGCAGATACTGATAGCTGCTCTTGTGCAGCTCGCCGACCATACGAATGGTAATTCGCACCTTTTCGTCCGGATTAGCTATTGGGAATTAAAAAGAAATAAACAATAGTATTTAAAATATATACAACTGATAAAACAAAAACTAATTGTATAATTGTTTCTCATCAACATGTAGTGACTGACATCATATGAAGCATCCTCATAGAGGAATGCTCAGAGCATATTGTTCGACAACATGTTGACTGCAAACTAGTAAACAACCAAATAATAGATTCAAAACAATTCAAATTAAAATTTAAAAATATGGTTCAACTTACTTAAAGAATCCACAACAATCTCCTTTGGGTCAGGATTAATTCTGAATGGAGTGTACAGAACAGTTCCATCAAAGAGTGCTGAGCCAAGCTCCATGGATGCTACACCAGTGTAGAATAACTTCTTCTTAGTGAATGTGACATCAATCTCTGGAGCAAAATCAACCCGGTACTGATAAATGCACCAATCTGCTCTTTTTTCCACCCTAAAGTAATTTGTCTGGATGTTAATCTTCCTTCCAGAATGACCCTGCTTGGTGACATCAGGCATTCTTGTAGTAAGTGTCGTCTCAGGAATGGCTCGATGTCCACGCACACCACCTCGACCGGAATGGCCACTATCGCCGCCATTTCCAGGACCTGACACACGACTGACCGTGGTTACAGAGTCCCTCGGGTCACCACGATTGCCTTGGAATTCAGGACGTACCGTCGATTGTGCTGGTGGACCAGTGTGCCTCGGTGCTTGAGGTCCCCAAGCAACAGGTTGTTGCGGCTGTGCCGGTGCGGGCCCTGTTGCACGCATGCCATCACCCAACATCGAAGATGGTGCGTTTCCGCGCATAGGGTTACCGGAACCCCAAGCACCCCCAGGACGTGATGCGCCAGGCCCACCTCTAGTAGGGGCACCGGATTGTTGCTGGTCAGCACCGACTCGTGCACGACCGCGTGCGCGCCCTCGGCTTTTTTGATCCATTGTTGAATTAACCTAAGAAAAGTGCATTTTGATTTAATTTCTAAATGTGTTCTATAATAAAAGCGTTGCTTACCAGAAAAAGAAAAACAAAGCTACCAGGAAAATTCAGTTTACATCAAAAGCTAATACACACGTTGCTTGAGCCGAGTGATTTCGTTAGCTGCCTCCTACACCGCGCTCAGCGCCCAACGAACTGCGCTGCGTGCACAGAGTTTGCCCGGCAGAAAGAGAGAAAATAAAGAACAGAATTCCCCCACCCCTAGTGTGCAACAGGAAACGCTCTGCTCAATCGCAAGATTTTAAACGTTTGGTTCGTTTAAAGATCTGATTTTCATATCACTAAGGAAACTACGCACAATTATAAGTTGATAAATATTATCGCAGCTTTAAGCTTACTGGTTTATTCAAATACAAATGATTGTTTGTCCACTGAGGTTGTTTCTTATATAACTTCGTCCATGGCTAGTATGATGGTAATTTCAGTTACACTGTTGTTTCTTCCAGGGCAAGCTAGATTTTCATATCGAAAAATGCTGAGTCATCATTTGGTTTTCAAGGTCTGCTATCTTTTGTTTCAACGCAACAAGATATTTATTGCATCGTCATCAAAAAAAAAATCGTTGCACACACTACAGGCTAAACAGAAGTTTTTGCCTTATCAACGTTTAGCCACATGATGCCTACATTATTTTTTCTACTTTCACTTTATTAGTACAGTCATTTGGTGCTAAAAAACGTGGTTGCTTGGAAAATAGTGCTGGATTGTTGAAAATTGGTATTCATATAGATTTCGATGTGCTCTTTACGAATTTAAACTTTGCCACCTCGTATCTTGTGCGCTCGCGCCACCATCTTGGAAAAATGGTGCCTAAGAACAGTTTTTTGACCATATCTCCTTTCCGACTCATTTTACAATAAATATATCTATATAATAAATTAATCTAAAGAAAATTTCCTATCTGTTGTGGCCTAGTCGACGTTGCGACTTTGGTTACACAGACTAGCTGCTCAGTAAATGATGCACACAAGAAATTTGGAAAGATACTAGTTTATTAATTCTCTTTACTCCTATTTAATATGTGTTTCTCTAATACGTCATGTACAAGAGTCCGATTTATGACGTACGTCTGCTAATGATTTAAGTCTAAGTTCAACAGATTAGCGGAAGCAAATACGGTATAGGAAAAATACATTATTTGGAAACTTAACTTGTACGTAAATATGATATATAAATGTCTAATCGCTAATTACTCTATTGCTATGGGACAACGGTCGTAACACTCCTCCCCCCTTATAAAGAGAATTCCCTTCGTCCCGAAGGCACGTTGGTTTCCGGATGATTGTTATCTTCTGTGGCATCAATGTCCTCTTTCGTTTGATTTACCACAGTTAAATTAATGGGAGATTGGGTGTTGTGATTCTTAGTTCTTTTACATTTTGTGATGGTGCGAATTATAAAAATAGCAAATGTTGTTCCGGCAATAATGATTGATACGATGGCAATGGACAGACCCTTTGCTTCATATTTTCTTGTTTCCTTTGATAGTTCTGCTTGTAACATGTTATCGAAAAATTCTAATTTGTGTTTGGTTAACTTTAGTTGATTAATGTCGGTGCCCTTGAATTGTATGGCTTCTAATTTTAGGTTTTCTATGTAATTTGCCTTATTTTTACAACATAAATCATTACTTATATTAACGGTTGGTATGAAATGGTTATGTGAGTTTATATGCTTAGTGTTTATAATTGTCTTTGGGGTTAGGGTCACCATTTTTGTATAGCACTTGCATTGTGCATCTAGTGTTAAAATTCCGGTGCCACAGATCACTATTGATTTTCTCACTTTATTACACACTATAGTTGCTGATAAGTTCTTGGTCACTATGAACATCCATGAGTTTGGATCTAGAGGTGTCCAAATTTCCATTGTTGCTCTTGTAGTGATGGTGTGACAGTCCTCCGGAATTGTTGAAGTTGCTGGATCTTTTAGCATAACTTCACAGATGGGTGATGTTGCCGCAGAGTATATAGTGTGGCATTCGCAGATAGTTTCATTGCCATGAAATGTCTTGCAGGTTGACAAATCCGCCAGCATGCTATATTTGTTACTTGCTGCATCAATTAACATGTACGGTTGAACAGGATTTACGTATGAAAGGATTCCTGGACGACCGGAGAAGTTTGGGAGTGGTATTAGTTGGTATAAGAGAAAGTCTTGCTTTGATGTTATTGGTAGTTGGATTGAAAATATTAATGTGTCCTCGATAATAAATGTTTTGATTGTGGTTATTGATAGGAATTTGTATAGATTTTCGCGGGTATTTGGGAAAGGTAATTCGGAGTCTGTGTCTAATTTTAATTGGGTTAATTCTTTTCGAAATAATGTGGGGCTTATGATCGATGGGTGGAGAATATTTTGCTTTGCGAACATAATTGCAGTTATGGTATTATCCAAGTCAGCATTTAACATTCCTATTAGGTTATTTATCAGCATTGTCTGATCGCTGATCCAAATTTCGATTCTAGTTCGATTCATGAAACCGTTAATTGTTGATGTTAGGTTGCCGATTACCATAAGGTTTCTTGGCATTCTTTGCAGTTTCTGATAAACTTTTTTATGTCTCGCCTCATACCATGCCATTTATAATTTTCTTTCAGCCTATGATAGGTCTTTAATTGTCCCGTATGCCCGGAAATTGCTGTCGCGTGATTTTCGAGAATTATTTTGTTAACTTCGCCGTCGCTGCATCACACACCGACGCCGGTCCCAAGCCCGGACAAAGAAGGAGGGTTGTAGGGTGAGGCCAGCGACCTACCCTACGTAAAAAAACATCAGTGCTCATAGAACCAGACAAGGGCCTCGGTTACGGACAGATCAACGACGACAACCCAAGCAAAGTACACGGACAAAGAGAAGATTACAAAAACATAACCTTAAAATCGCCACATGGAACATAAAATCGCTCAACAGAAGAGACCAAGAAATGGAGCAAGAATTAAGAAACCACCACATTGATATCTGCGCACTTCAAGAAACTAAGAAAAAGGGAAAAGGTCAGGCAGTAGTTGGAGATTATCTACTAGCATACAGCGGTGTAGAGAGGAACGAGCGAGCAAAAAAGGAGTCGCAATCATGTTTCACAAAAGTTAGTAGATCACATTATAGACATCACGTACGTTTCAGCCAGAATAATACACGCAAAACTGCTGCTAGACAGGAAACGCACCAACATTATAAGTATTTACGCTCCAGAAAACTGCAGACCCCAAGACGTAAGAGAAGAATTCTTTAATTCACTGCAACATGTTTTAGACAGCCATAAGAACGAAGCGACTATCATCCTAGGAGACTTTAACTCAAGGATTGGCAACAGAATCATACCCGGAGTTAAGCAGAGATTCAACGAGGAAACAGAAAACGAAAATGGAACGCTGATGACTAACCTATGCACAATCAACGAACTACGAATAAATAACACATATTACGAACACAAACAACAACACAAACACACGTATTGTAACTCAAGGGGACACACATCAACAATCGACTTCATTGTGACAAACCGAGTAATTCCACCAACCAGCATATTAGATGTAAGAAGCTTAACCTCGGCAGACATAGGAAGCGATCATGCCCTCGTGATTGGGAAGCTGAGACTAATATCCTCCAAAAGAAACAAGCAAAACATGCGAAGAGCGCACAAAAATAAAACAGAAGGACTAGCTGACCAAACAACCAGAGAACTATATGCAAACAGACTGAAGGAGAAAGTTACAAACAACAACATACAAGAAGGAGATAACGTGGATACGGCATGGGAAAGGCTGAAAAGCAACATACAACAGGCTGCCGAAGAAGCGCTAGGCAGGAAGATCATCAAGAAACCGAATCCTTTTGCTAAGAGAACTCCATGGTTCACCGAGGAAATCAAAATGAAATGCAAGGAAAAAAAGCAGGCACACATTCAACACCTCACGCAAAGAACGCAAGAATCATACGAAAGTTACAAACAAATCCGCAGAGAAACGCACGAGTTAGTACGGAAGACGAAATCCGAACACTGGAGGATCTTCTCAAAACAACTAGAACATGACTTCTATGGAACCCAAAAGACAGTATGGAAGACCATAAGAAACCAGAGAAAAGAGCTCACAGAACTGGTACAAGCAAAGGGAATAGACAAAGAGACCTGGATAAACTACATCAAACATCTATACCGGGACACAAACCAGGAGAAACCTAATATCTCAGTCAACATACAACCTGATGAACCAACCATAGTAAGCATATCTGAGGTGGAAACAGAACTCGCTAAACTCAGAAACAGAAAAGCCAGTGGCCCGGACGGAATACCCAATGACCTCCTGAAATACGGCGAAGAAGTGCTCGCGGCCGAAATTACGAAACTTATCAACATCATCCTGAAGCATCAGAGAGTACCAACTGAATGGAAATTGAGCACACTAATAATGATGTTTAAGAAAGGAGATAAGCAAGAACCATCCAACTATCGAGGAATAGCTCTGCTAAACACCACCCTGAAACTAACAACTCGATTACTAGCGAACAAGATATTAGCACACACCACACTATCAGACGAACAACAGGGCTTCAGGAAAGGAAGGTCCTGTAACGACGCAATATTCATAATAAGACAGGTGAAGGAAAAAGCCGTGGAGTGGAACAAACCGGCTTTTCTTTCCTTCGTGGACCTAAGGAAAGCGTTTGACAGAGTGCAGCTCCAAGACATAACCAGCATACTCCGAAAAGAAACATCGCATCTGATATCATCAATACTATAAGGGACATCTACAACAACAACGAACTGCAACTAGCAATAGCCGAACAACGCACAGACCCCATAAAAGTAGGAACAGGGTAAGACAAGGCGATTCCCTAAGCCCCCTGCTATTCAACTTCATCATGGAAGAGATAATTGCAAGAGTCCGACGCTGTAAAGGATACCAGATGGGGGGGAAAGAGCTGAAAGTTGTGTGCTACGCGGACGATGCCGTGCTAATTTCCGATAGCGAAGACAACCTACAACGCATGATTCACCAGTTTAACATTGCCAGCAAAGCCCTCAACATGGAGATAGCAACAGAAAAAACCAAATGCATGGTCATCGCACCACATCCAATAAGATGCAAACTTGAAGTCGATGGACAAATCGTACAACAAGTGAGCGAGTTCCGATATCTTGGTATAAACATATCCAGCAGTGGAGGAGTGGAAAAAGAAGTAGCAGAGCAAGTTGAAAAGGGCCTGAGAATAGCAGGATGCCTAAGGAACACGATTTGGGACAACAAACATCTAAGAACAGAGACGAAAGTTTCCATCTACAAGGCAGTAGTCAGGCCCATATTTACATACTCGGCAGAAACGCGTGCAGAGACGACAACCACACAGAGATTGCTCACCACCGCGGAAATGAGGACACTAAGAAACATAGATGGCAAAACACTGCTCGACCGGATAAAGAACGAAGACATCAGAAGAGCGTGCAACAACATAGAAGACATAACACAATGGTGCAAAAGACGCAAAATCGAGTGGAACGAACACATAGAACGGATGGACGAAACCAGAATAGTCCGAATAGCCAGGGACAAATCGCCAAGGGGAAAGCGATCCCTGGGAAGACCCCGAAAGAGATGGAGCGACCACCTAAACCCTGTCTGAAGTAGGAACAGGCAATATGCCTACAAAAGAAGAAGAAGAAGAAGAAGAAGAATTTCGTCTTGAGATTTTGGTTTGACTTTTTCCTTGTTTACTAGAGTTACTTCTATGTCATCTCCGAAAATAAAATATACTAATTCGTTTACAAGTTCTTGTTTAATATTTGGATTGACTTCTAGAGGATTTAAAATGCAAATTTTCTTTATCTTCGTTTCTATTAATTTATTATATAAGATCTGGAAAGCGTAGAAGATATCTTGTACTGATGGTTTATCAAAATGATTTAGGTGAGTTATTAGTACAAAGGCATGATTTTTATCTTTTTGTGTGTGAATAATGTCGTGCATTTTTGGCTGTTTACTATTAACTTCTTGTATGTCAAATTTAGCGCTAAGATTGTGATATAAAAAGTTATTTTCATGGCAGTCTTTTGCGAATGGAATAGCTATTACTTCATTCTTAAATAAACATTCGTTGTTTGACTTAATTTCTATAACTGCCGTGTTCCTGTAATGGAACTCAATAAAATTTTCGTAAGTTTTATTATTGCCAATTGCTGCTATTAAAACGGCAGGATTACGCGAAAGTGCGTCTGCGTTAGTATTTTTCTTTCCTGGCTTGTAGATGATTTGATATTCGTACTCTTCTAGCTTTAATCTCCATCGGATTAGTCGAGATGATGGGTCTTTGCAACTGAATAACCATTGAAGTGGTCGATGATCTGTATTAATAATTAACTTTTGCCCGTAAACATAGGGTCGAAAATGATTTACAGCCCAGACTATAGCTAGCAGTTCTCTTTCTATAGTGCTATAATTGCATTCAGCTTTATTTAGCGTTCGGGATGCAAATGAAATAGGCCTATCTAATTGGTTTTCATCGAGTTGTGATAGAATTGCGCCGATTGCTACGTTACTTGCATCGGTTGTAATAATAAATTCTTTTCGAAGTTAGGATAAGCTAGAGTTGATTCTGAGGAAATGATCTGTGTTAGAGTCTTGAATGAAGCTTCCTGGAGTGGGCCCCATTCAAATGTATTTTCTTTCTTTAGCAGTTTGTTGAGTGGTTTTGCTATTTCAGAAAAGTTGTTAATGAAACGTCTATAATAGCCCATAAGCCCTAGGAATTGTCGAATTTGTTTTTCGTTTTTGGGTCGCGGATAGTTAACGATTGCATTGATTTTGCTTGGATCTGGCTTAACACCTTTTTCATTAATAATGTGTCCGAGGTAGATAACTTCTTTTCGAAGGAATTCGCACTTTTCTGGTTGCAATTTTAAATTATTTTCCCTGAGTCTTTTAAAAATGCCCTTAAGTCTTTTTGTGTGATCTTGTAGGCTTGACGCGTAAATTACGATGTCATCAAGATAAACGAAGCAATGTTTATCTTGCAGTCCGCTTAATGCGACATTCATTAGCCTTTGAAACGTTGCTGGAGCATTACGAAGGCCAAATGGCATTCTTTTAAATTCGTAGTGTCCGTTTGGGGTTGAGAATGCTGTTTTTGCTCTGTCCTCAGGCCTCATTGGAATTTGATAGAATCCTGATGCCAAGTCAAGGATGGTAAAATATTTGCTATGACCCAATTGGTCCAGAATGTGTTCAATATTTGGTAGAGGGTAAGAATCTCCTACTGTGATATTGTTAAGTTTGCGATAGTCAATAACGATGCGCCATTTCTTTTCATTTGTTTGCGACTTTTTGGGTACAACCCATAGTGGACTATTGTATGGACTTGATGACTGTTGGATGATATTTTGATTTAGTAATTCATTAATTTGCCTATTTACTTCATGCTCGTGTATTTTCGGAAATCTATAAATTTTTGTTGTTATGGGCTTGTTCGATTCTGTGGTAATTTTATGATGTACTGCATTTGTGTGAGTTAGCATATCATTAGGTAGGCAGAAAATGTCATTAAATTCATTGCAAATGTCTGCAATTGTTTGTTTTTCTTCCCGGTTCAAATGTTTTAATCTTAGATGGTTTAGGACAGCTTCTGTTCTATCTATGCGTGGCGATTGTACGTTAAAATGAAAAATTTGTGATTGTGCGTGATCAAATGGTTCAAGTTCCACTTGGATTTGTGGGATTTTTACTTCTTCTTCCGTTGTATTAACGATTGTCGTGATTGATAGATTATTTTCTGCTTTTAGTATTGCGTTTGCGACATAAATGCCTTCTTTGATTTGTATTTTTGGACAAACGCCTTCTGTGATGTGGTTAATGATGCTAATTTGAACTGCTGTTTCGCGACGAGGTGGCAGTGTAATCGATTTTTCTGATGCTGGTTCTAATTTAATTTTTATTATTTTGTCTTTTCCGATATTCTCTAATTGGAGATATTGATCTTTTATGTTTATTATTGCGTTATGTAATTTCAAAAAATCCATACCGATTATTCCGTCAAATTCGATGTTAAGTTCAGTTTTGATTATATTAAACTTTATGGGTGTTATGGTATTTTTGATTTTTGGTTTCAATGTAACCGTTCCCGCTGTTTGCATTGTTGTGTGTTTGCCGATACCCGATATTTCGGTTTTTTCATTTGGATTAAATGTGAGATTTGTTAATTTAAGTTTTTCGGGTTTAATTATGGATATAGCTGCGCCAGTCTCAATTAGAAGGGAGAAATAGAACTTTTTTCCGTATTTGTCTTCGTGTGGTAGATTTAGAACGCATCGGTTTTTATGGTTATTATCGATAACGAGACACTCCATTGGTAGTTCATTAGAAACGTCTTCACTTTGTGATATTTCGGTGGTATGATTAATTGGTCTATGGTTAGAACGATTATTTGATGGGCCTGGATTTTGATGACGGTATTGATTCTGTGAATGATTTGAATTTTGAGGTTTGTTTTGATTTGTTTGATTATTATATTGACGTTTGCGACACTCGTCAATCTCGTGGCCATCTTTCTTGCAGTAACGACAGAATTTTCCGGTTATTGGCTTTTTTCCTCTATATCGACAGTCGTTAGTAAAATGAGTATTTGTTTTGCAGTTTGAACAATATTTATTCTTTTGATTTGGAGTTTGTTTATTGAATGAACTTTGAATCTTTAGATAGCATTCTTCGGCGATAGCTTCGGAAAGTGCTTCTGTTAGAGACACGGGTTTAATCCGTCGTAATGCGGATGAGATTTGTGGTAAGCAATATAGGATAAAGCGTTGCAACGCCGTTTCTTTTATGTATGCGATTTTGCCTTCAGTTTCGTTGTTTTTATCCAGCGCGATGACATTAATTAATTTGGTTTGTAAATTTTCTATTCTTAAATGAAAATCGATTATATTTTCGCCAGATTTTTGAGATATACAATTGAGTTCTTCTCTCAATTGGCTCGTGTTTTTGTGATCAGCAAAAGCTTGAGTTAGAATGATTTTTAATTCTTCCCACGTTCTGATTGTTTTGCTTCGGATGTGAGTACGCGCATTACCTCGGATTTTGGAGATTATGATAGCTAAAAGCATATCTTTTTGTGTTCCTTCCGCAAAGGAAATTGCATTATTACAATCAGCCAGAAAGTCATATAGTTGTTCGCGATTGCCGTCAAATGAATCAGGGAGCATTGCTCGTAGATCGGTCATGTTAAAAGCCATTCTATTTTGCGAATTGTTTAAAATGTGGCTTTGAATTGGAGTTTGATTTTGAGTTAGAGTTTGATTTTGTGTTGGACTTTGATTTTGAGTTGGACTTTGATTTTGGGAATTATTTTGATTTGAGTTGGAACGAGTATCAACCATATCTTAATTTTTGCAACAAAATAACACAGCAAGCTAGTGAAATTTCTCTACTCACAGTTTTTCCTGCTCGAATGCTTCCTTCGGTTTCTCTCGACAGCTTCACTGTTGGCGATGGACGTTGTCGTAGGCTTCGGCGGGATCAATGATGGTTAGAGCAAAGAGGGTGAACTCAAAAATGTTTAAGTATTTATCGGCTACTCAGTTCACCGTACTTAAATCTTTTAAGTTCTACGGCTTGATCAAGTTTCTTGAACGAATCTTCTTCTTGATCGAGTTCGAACACTTCTGACACCAGTATGTTGTGGCCTAGTCGACGTTGCGACTTTGGTTACACAGACTAGCTGCTCAGTAAATGATGCACACAAGAAATTTGGAAAGATACTAGTTTATTAATTCTCTTTACTCCTATTTAATATGTGTTTCTCTAATACGTCATGTACAAGAGTCCGATTTATGACGTACGTCTGCTAATGATTTAAGTCTAAGTTCAACAGATTAGCGGAAGCAAATACGATATAGGAAAAATACATTATTTGGAAACTTAACTTGTACGTAAATATGATATATAAATGTCTAATCGCTAATTACTCTATTGGTATGGGACAACGGTCGTAACAAGGCATTTAAACCAGATTCTGACAACATTAATTTTCGAGGCACGATGTATGTCATCGACGGTGGATACTTATTACACAGAGTCATTTGGCATCGCGGTGAATCGTTTTCATCCATTTGCAACAACTACGTCGAATTTGTTCGCTCAAACTATACATCCAATGCCATTATCGTTTTTGACGGATATCCGGAAGACGTAACAAAGCGTAGTACTAAATATGCGGAGCGATTTCGACGATCAAGAAAAAATGCTTCTGTGGATATACTGTTTGACCAAACAATGATCCCAACTGTGCCACAAACTAAATTCCTGGCTAATGATCTAAACAAGAAACGCCTCATTGAAATCTTAAAGATTAAATTTGAAGATGCAAACTTTATGGTCAAGCAAGCCACGGAAGATGCGGATACTTTAATAATCAATACTGCAATAAGCGTTTCTTCATCATTCAATTCTGTAATTGTTATAGGCGAAGATGTAGATCTTCTTATTCTTTTAACGGAGCTATCAATGCATTCAAACATATATTTACTAAAACCAGGGAAAGGAAAAATTTTGCAACAAATCTATTCAACCAAAAGCATCATCGATCAAACGGCGGCAGATCACATATTATTTTTACACGCTTTTAGTGGCTGTGATACAACATCTGCACTTTTTCATCAAGGAAAATTAAAATTTATCAATGTACTCCGCAAAAATCCAGATTCAAACGAAGTTGTCCAGGTATTCAAAAACCCAAAGGCTTGTCCAGAGATCATTGCTACAGCTGGCGAACGCTTTCTTCTTAAATTATATAGTTACAGTGATGTGAAAACTATGCAAAATATGTCTTTAAACATCTATAGATATGCCAGCTTCACAAAATCAGCATACAAAAGTAAATTTAATATTGCATCGCTACCACCAACAGAAGCCGCAGCCCGACAACATTCGTTCAGAACTTATCACCAAGTTCAGCAGTGGTATGGGAATGAACTAAATGCAGAACAATGGGGATGGAAAAAAAGCAAGAATGGGCTAATTCCTGTCACTACACTTGAGCCCCCAGCTCCCGAAACATTGTTAAAACTAATATCTTGCAAATGAAAAAGTGAAGTGCTCCGTTATCTGTACAAATTGCAGTGGTACCTGTGATAATTCGCAAGTTCCATCACAAGATAGCGATGAAGAGGAAGTATCGATTACTGTTTTTGAGCACACGTACGATGAACTCGAGAACCAAGATAGCAATGAAATCTATAATCCCATCGCGGATAGTATGGCAGAAAATTTTACCGGTGATATTTCGATCGGTCCTGAAAACAATTAACGCACAACACCTGGTCCATTACGAAGAGCGAATCGGAAGATAATCCATTAAATTTTGGAATAGTGCGTGTGGATTAGGCCTACTGGGGATACCACGATAAAAAAACGCGCCACGTACTCTACCTCATGGTGGTGTGGAAATGAGTTTTTGGTAAATACGAATGTTGAAGTAGACTTTGCGGCGCCCGTACGCTAAAACTATTAATTTTACAAGAAAAAGGTACTTACATAAATTATAGGAAATTTTCTCTAGTTTAATTTATTATATAGATATGTTTATTGTAAAATGAGTCGGAAAGGAGATATGGTCAAAAAACTGTTCTTAGGCACCATTTTTCCAAGATGGTGGCGCGAGCGCACAAGATACGAGGTGGCAAAGTTTAAATTCGTAAAGAGCACCTCGAAATCTATATGAATACCAATTTTCAACAATCCAGCACTATTTTCTAGGCAAAACTACCAAATGACTGGACTATATTTCCACGTTGAGATTTTTGTATTTGAACTTTTGTATTTTAAATCTTCAAAATTCGGTCGCCCCATGCTGGGAAATGTAAGGTTATAAATGCCATGATGACTTGTACTGAACCCGGAAATTCAATAATAATATATAAAAATATATTTATTGATTCAATTTACCACGTGATTTTTTTGGATTTACCGGTTTTTGTTGAGTTTAACATGTTTCGCCCTGAAGGCATCTTCAGAAACTGATTTTATTTTGTGTATTAGAGGGTGTTCTGTGTGTTAAGTGTTTATGTTATCGTGTGTTATTGTGTGCTGTGGATATGTGAAGTTTATTAAGTGGTGTAAATATTGTGTCGTATACCCACATACCCACAGCACATGATAACACACGATAACATAAACACACAGAACACCCTTTAATACACAAAATAAAATCAGTTTCTGAAGATGCCTTCAGGGCGAAACATGTTAAACTCAACAAAAACCTGTAAATCCAAAAAATCACGTTGTAATTTTAATCAATAAATATTTTTATATATATACAACATGGATAACGTATTCGACATCGAAGGAAAAATCAATAATAATAATAGCATTAAATAAAGAAAGAAAAAAAAAAGGAAAAAGGAGAGATAAAAATGAATTATTTTATAAGATAACAACAATTAAGAATCTAATAAGCACGAAAATCCATTAAAATCATTAAGTTAATACTTTATTGGCTTACAATAAACACTAATAATACTTAATCTGAAACTCTCGACCAACATTTATTTCGAAAATTTCCTGTTTATTTTATAATCCCTTGACATTATTGCATCATCCATTTCTTTACTCTAATGTGCCAGATGAACCGTATTATTTCGTCTTGAATTTCCAGACTACCTTCAATTACTTCATTGCTTACTCTTATACTTCTGCAAATAAATTTTATTGCACCATTTCTTAAATTTCTCAACATACCCTAATCTTGAAATTCCCTACACTTAACGGAATAGCGTTGTTGCCAGATAACCACTGATCGGACAGAGCGCTAAACCACCTTTTCGGATAATCCACCAGCAACCGCCAAACTCCCACCCTTACCCAGTATGCACCTTTTCTCCTAGTCTCCTTTGCGGTGAACAAAGAGAAGAAGAAGAAAATCAGTTGCTTCCCTTTAGCACTGTTTTCCGATCAGGTATTAATGTCCCATTAATCATAAACATTGTTTATCTTTGTAAATAAACTTTTAAAATTCACAAACACCATGTCACGTTCAATCAGATGCACCTACAGTCTCAATAAAATTTTGCGAATAGAACGTTTTATATTGTACAGCAAGAGAGGAAATATTCTGGGCTCAAAATTGATTATAAATTATAATAAACCTTCCAAAACTAGGAAGTAGTGGAAACAGTGGAATCCCGGTAATCCGACAATTACTTTGCAGGGCCGCGTCGGATTTGTCGGATTATAGAGGACTGCCTAAGACCCCTTACAGTTCGTAATTTTTTACAAAAGAGTACCATGTAATCCGACAAATTACAAATCATAAAGTACAAACATATGGCATATGACCATGTCGGAATACAAGAGGTGCCGTATTAAGTCTGGTCCGGATTACCGATGATTCCACTGTAATTTAGAAAGAATTTAGAAAGTTATAATGACATCGAAGGGAATTGACAAACACGTCATAATAAGCGGACGTCATACAAAGCGTTTTGTGAAATGAAAACCCTTTTTTATGTAAATACACATACATATACAGTAGAATCCGTTTATTATGACTCCGCTTATATTGACCAACCGGTTATTATGACGTAACTACACTACCAAGTTTGGTTTTCATATAAAATTCTGTATAAAAAAGTCGGATATAATGACTTCGCTTACAGTGACATGTCGCTTATTATGACCCATTTTTAATAGATTATGTTCGGTTATAATGACGAACATGATTCTTTACACCTCCGGTAATGTTCGTTGATACCCGACGACGTTCGACACGTGGCGAACTTTTTATATTTATTGCTACATTTTTTTTATGATTGTCAAATTACATTTATATATTTACTATCGGAAAGACCAAATGCTTAAATAATAAATATAAGCATTCAGGCAGCAGCACCTTGACCACGACTTAATCCGTATTTTCCATTAATCCGAATTTGGCGTGGGTCATTCGACAATCTCAATGCTTTTTAAAGAACCATAACCGTATTAAGCAATCGTTCAATTCAAATGTTTTGAAACCGAAGAGGCTGCAAAAATCACAAGAAAATTAATTAAATGAAAAAACAAAAGCAGACAAAAATTACAGATTACTTGCAGTAAAAAATACACTTGAATGTGTTATAATGTGCTGATTACGTGCAATTTTGATTTTGAACGTGCCACGTACTCTACCTCAAGGTGGTGTGGAAATGAGTTTTTGGCACAAACGAATGTTGAAGTAGACTTTGCGGCGCTCGTACGCTAAAACTATTAATTTTACTGGGCTAATAACCGTGTTTGAAAATTTTCGGATTTAGGGGCCCCAAGCTTGATTTGCGCCTAGGGCCCCACTGAAGCATAATCCGCCACTGTATATTATAGTAGTCATATAAGCAAATAGTTGTAAGTTAGATAGTAGCATTGTTTAAGGCACTGTCACTATGCCAATTGTTTTAAAATATTGTTGGGGCGAAACCTGCGTAGCTTGTCCTCCTGGTTCTGAAGACGGTTGCCCGATTTTTGTTTGCGATGCTCAAGCGACTCTGACTGAGTTTAGCCGGTCTAACATCGCGCTCCAAGGTAAAATATTGATGTGGTGGATAGTTTCCAGCTAACTTGCAAGAATGATGCAGCTGCAGTCTGGACTAACCGGAAGAACAAAGCATATAATTGCAGCTGTCCCCTGGCAGGTGTTTGCCAAATGCAAATGATAACACTTCGTCGCGTTATCGGTACGTTTGTCGGACATGGCCCGATCAAATATCGATAAAAAAAGTAAAGAAGTAGGGGTTTGGTCATGTCTAAATTAGAGGTATGACATAAATACCGGTATTTATTTACCTGTAAGTATTTCCGTAGTGCCAGTATTGTCTGAAGTCGTTACTGAATATAATTATGTTAATCACTCGAATATGTTTAACTTCATTTTTTATTTATTTAGTATTTTTAATAATAAACTTAACTTAACTTAATAAACTTAATAATAAAATTAACAATATGTTAATAACAAGGCGACTTA